CTAAAGAGGAAAAWTAAGATGGTATGTCTGGTGAAGCTCTTATTTCTTTTTTCCTCATTCTTTGTGTTCCTGTTATTGACGATATCTTTAAAGTAACAACACTTTGGTGCTACTAAACGAGCTAATGTCTCTTTGAATKATCTATTTATGATATATTTAGTTAATATCAAGATATAAGCTGCTTTCATTTAAGAACTTATTTATGTTTAGCAACAAAGAAATGAGTCAAAGGCGTAATCACCATCTTAAAAGTGGGGGGGGGGGGCACATTTTTTTAAAGGTCTTTTTTTCTGCTTTGGCTGAAAAAAGTGGGGGGACAGAGGGCACAGATATTGGAAGTGGGGGGGACATGTCCCACCCCGTGCCTATGGCGGTTACGCCCATGAAACGAGTCATAAATTTATTTCATTCATTTAGTGTTTGTATAAATGGTATTAAAGTGTAACTAACCCACCATATGAAATCATAACCCCGCCCCCAGGCAAATTTAAAAGCATTTCAATAAAGTGGGCGGTGCCAAGTGWCAGAGGAAATGTGGTCAAGACAAGGAAAWGTGACAGATAGCTTAATTTTACAAGCTAGCATTTCTGTGTAGAATAACCTAGTACAKGTTTGACATACTTTTTCAGTGTTTAAAGTAGAGAAGATTAAAGATGTTTAAGGTAGTGAAAAATTAGGTGGAATCGCAATCCTCAGTGGGAAGCTTCAACTTGGTGTGGCTCAGTAATGATAAATTAGCGGGATTAATCATCAACAGATTTATTACCAAGGGAATATTGAAGATGATGTTGAACTGCAAAGTTAAAATGTATTGTATATTAAACCAGAACTGAGTGAGAGGCTTTTATTCCTAAACCGAGACCTGTGATGTAACCATGTCAGCAAGTACCATTTTAACCAATGAGAAGATTCAACTACAGTAACCACCGTTCAACCCATAGAGGGCAGCACTAAGACAGTTTTAGACAAAATGTGCCAGAATTAAACAAATTTACGCAGGAATGTCAACATTTTCACAGAAAAATAAAGAAAACACCCTTAAGGCACATATTAGACAGTTTATCTGCAAAAAAGGTTGATTTTATGTTTAGTTACTTTTCAAAGATATTTCAAAAGCACAAAAAGATTTTCCTGTTATCTAATCTTAGGCATGCATGTTGTAGTTTAAGTAATAAATCAACTGGATATGAGAATGAGGTAAAGGTAAATTTTATTGAAATAAATCCGTTTCRTTTTTAACTCCTAACTGCTCAAAACAACGTTTGTTTTTGTGTTTATGAGGCTCTACTGATCCTTTTTTTGTCACTTCAGTAGAAAACGAAACCAAATATTAGTTTATTTAGTTTATTTATTTCTTCATCAGTGACTTTTTTTAAGTGAAGAGAAAATAGAGACAGAGAGAAAAACAGAGAGAGAAGTAATTAGAAAAATAGAAAGATTGAAATGGCGATTAGAAGTATATTAAATATACACCAACAAAACACAGGACCACACACCCAACATCTGTCCGCTCCCCTGAAAATAAATGGATAAATACATGGAGGGCATATATAAAAATATACACATACCCATACATATATAAAGATATACATACATACATGCCTACATTCATAAATATTGTCAGTATATACACACAGACATATGGGCTGTGTCCAAAACGGCAGGCCGGGTCCTCCAGAGGACCCAGACTCCCCGGTCTCGGCGAGCCGGGTCCTTGGTAGACCGGGAAG